CACTGTACGGCAGCTGTGAGGGTGGCGAAGTACCTAGCGACAACATCAGGCGTGGGGCTAGTTCTTGGAGGGCAGCTGCCTGTCGTACTTACTGGTCACTGTGACTCTTCTTACGCTGACGACGCTGAGACTCATAGGTCTACTCAGGGGTAGTGTTTTAGCTTGGGTTCTGGAGCTGTTTCGTGGTGCTCCACGTGCTCCTCTTCAGTCTCGACCTCTACAGCTGAGGCTGAGATCTACGCTGGTGCCATGACGGCACAGAAGCTGCGTTGGTTGACCTTCTTGCTCACCGACCTTGGTGAGCGGCCGGGCTCTGCACCGACCTTGTTCACTGAGAACAAGGCGTGGATCCTCCTTTGTCGAGAGCCGCGACTGGAGAGCAGAGTGAAGCACATTAACGTCATGTACTTTCTTCTGCAAGAGTTGCAGAGACGTGGACAAGCTCGCTTCGAGTTTGTGGAGTCCGAGGCCAACACTGCAGACATCTTCACCAAGGCACTTGCGCCTTGTGACCACTAGAGATGTTGTGTGCAGTTAGGCCTTGTTGACACAGTTTCTAGTCGTGTATATGCTTGAGTCTACTGTTTCCTTTGCTTGTACTCATGCTATACACACTTTTGAACTCTCGAACTGGCCTTGTGGCCCCTGTTGCTTGTGCTCAGAGTGTGTGGTGATGTTGTGATCCACCCTGAGCTTTGTTTCTTTGTGACTGGTCTTGTGACCGCACACTTTTGGTTTTGCTTGACACCCCTCACTTAGGCTATGGGGTTGTGTCAAATGTTGTAGCCTGTAGTGAGGTTTGTCTTAGGGGGTAAAGATGTTAGGGTTTGTTATATGTACCCCAACCCACATCAATGAACCAACACTTTCATTCGTGACAAGTACATATAGGAGGCCTTAATTAGGGCTATACTCTCTATAGAGTACCCCACTACAGGCTAGACAAATATCACATTCTGACAGACGGAGTATCTCGGTGAAGGAAGCTAATAAAGTAGTTGACATACTCATCAAAGGTGGCGTCAAGAGAGCAAAGTCAGGGTGGTAGAAGAGCTAGTCAGGGGCCTCGAGGAAAACTAAGAAAGGCACACGGGAGAGTGCACACTAAGAGCTTGTCCACATAAGGGTCACGGACAAGAGCAAGGGAGCACCAAACGCAAAACGTAGGCGCAACACCAAGAAGCGCAATCCACGAGCTGGTCGATAAACTTTTGGCCGTGAGTCACGAAGCCACATGAGAGCTAGTGCGCGGTGTAAAGAATCGCAAACGATTACATAGAATGGGGAGCACTGCACACATAATAGAGGTATGAGCTACCCTATTTTGCTGCGGCGATTCCGAAAGGGATTAGGGTATGGGTGATACCCTGCGTATGACATAACAGAACAAGGAGACCGAAGGTGAACTCACCACCACAGTCGGGGTGCCGACGAAGCACAAACTTGGCGCACTTGGTGTGGAAGCCTACTGGCCACGGGTGGAGAATGTCAGGCACATTGGCATTCCGCTCTAATGGAAATATCATGGTGTGGCGGGAATTGTCGTCCACAATGACCAGGAAAAACCTTGGCGCAGCCTATGGACTAGGTCAGGGCCTCAAATGTCTATGTGCAAGGTCGGAATAGGTAGGAGGATATGAGGTGGAGTGGGGGGCTGCAAGGAGGTGCACGGCGGCGCAGACGAGGGAGGGAGAGCGGGGAGCAACGTCAGGAGACCAGAGACAAGACTGTACTTAGCCATGTAACGCAGCGGGGTAACATAGACGTTGCGCCATGGTGATTGAGCGACCGACACAAGCAACACATCTACCAGACTAAACACAAGAACCATGGTGGACGCAGTGTGCGGCATGACAAGACCTGACGCGGGATTTCGGATAAACGTGCCAAGAGGTGCCCCATTGGTAGCGCTTGTACGAGTCATGAACCTCTCATGTCCTGCAAACATGGCGATGACGTCGAGGTCCTGCAGATTATTAAAAAATCCACCAGATTTATGGGGAACAGGGGGATGTGCAGTCCTGTAAAGGGAGCCAGTAGGGTTTTCTGGGCACGGGAGTGCGGTAGAAATGCGTGCAACGACCGGCCCAAATGAGGCGGTGTGACCAAGGAGACAACGACAGGAGCTAGAAGTGGCGATAGACCGGTGTGATCGCGGAAGAGGGGATAGAGGGGGGTAGATATAACATTTTATACCTTCTACAGTGTAACAGGGGTGACCTATCCTATTTAGTGCATATACAACAAATAATTGTGTATGCTGATAATAGCGTGTAATTACACCAAATAGTAAGAGTGAAACAGTGCATATATGTTTTCAAGATGTCTCCCATGTTTTGAGGCAGTTGTGCCAATAGCATGTCAGTGATGGATACGGATTTTTGTTGAAAACTATAACGATGCATTCGAATATTTTTGTATCAGTTATCACGGAGGGCTTAGTCAATATCTTGCTCAAGGTTGATCGCAGGGTTAATGCAAAGCGGAATGGTTCGTGTGATGATGAGTGCAAGAGTGAATGCAAAATGACGGAAGTGATTATAACACTAACATTCATATGTTTGTATAAGAAAACAGAATATACAGGTTCATATAGGAATACAAGAGAATATGAAAGGTCATAGCTAGCCATGTAGTTCGAGGGGTAAATTTCCCTATTACCGTGAGGCATGGGATCCAGTTTCAATCATGTTCCAGCCAGGAGTGTGTTGTAGAGGTCCTTATTGTAACGCTGTTTTGACTGTAAGGGATGCGGAATATGAGCGAGACAATACGAGTTAAGCATTCAGATTGTACGTGAGGGGACATGTAGTTTTGTTTCCCTCGTGCCTAAGGGGGCATGAGGCCAAAAGTGCTGTGGCGACTTGGCGTCGCACGCACTTGAGGCGAAAATGGCTTGCACTGTGACATCCCAAGCCAATGCCCCTTTCCCCCTTTTCCTTAAATGCAGCCACATAGCCTTGAGAGCAAGCGCGCAACTGTGGCTTCACCAACCTCAAAATACAAGTGGTGCAGGCACACCAACTGATCGAAACAGACAGGGGCTATATGAAAGGACGAAAACTCATTTCCCGAGCACAGAAATTGAACAACTTGCTAGTCCCGACCTGTATATATTGTCATTCCGGAGGCTATTACCGGCCTGTAAACATTGGGACTGAGGTTACACACCTCATGATAAAATACTGAGAGCCATACGTTTAAGCGTTGGTGGAATTACGCCTCTTATGACCTAACAAATAAGGGGTTGAACATTCCAGAATCCAGTCGGGATGAGCTGGGTTGCACTCGCATTTTTCGACCTGACCCTGAGCAACGGGTTCACGGTCACAAGGACAAACGATAACGGTTTGGGAGACTGTCGAGGGGACACTGTGAAACAAGAGCTGAAACGACAGCTGAATGTTAGGGGGACAGGTTCTGTTGTTTGCTAAGGGTTTGTCTTTAGTCAAGCTCGCACCGAGACTTTCGGGTTTTCAGGGTTTTCAAGGCAACAAACTTTCGAGATCACACCGAGACTTTTCACGGCTTCCTTATGGGACAGTTCCGTTCCTACACGAGCTGCCACGACTGGGCTTTTAGGAGTGGAAAGTGCACCCAAAAAAAGCGCCCAGTAAACGGGATCGCACATCCCCACTAGCATACATTTCGCCGAAAGTGTACTGACATGGATGGCGGAAACATTTCGCGGACAGGCCCGAGAAGAGCCTGCATTTTCAGGGGGGGCAACCTTGTCGGTTTGCAACCAAGTACAGAAAAAACAAGCATTTTGCATTGGGTTTTTATACGGGCCGTCTCAAACATTTCGTAGTTATCACGAGCAGTCACATGTTCCGCCAATTCTATCATGAATGGTCACATGTTCCGTAAAATCTATCACGAACCATCACACGGGTATCACCCGCCGTCACTCAAAGGCACTAACTTATATCACGGGTAGTCACACTTGAAACTTTGCTATCACAGATGAACCCTGTCATCATTTCGTTGACCCGCCCTGAAACACTGTACAGATTTAGGGACGTTATTTGGGGTTCCTGGTTTTTGTCCTTTATACGCGACCAGTTTGGGAGCAAAGATACCTGGTTACGTTAGGATCGACGTAACACATTAGTTCTATTAAATCTATGAATGAATTGGAACGCATATATATAGATGAGTTCACAACTTATAACTTAGAACACACAATTTATTTCGCTATACAGCGGATATAATATACAGAATGAGAATAATCTCACCGCAATACAGTATCACTAGCCATCAATTAAATACTATAGACTTAATAATCTCATGCCAGATTCGGCTAGTGATAGGCTGGCACATGTGACTGGTCGTGATAACTACGAAATGTTTTGTGACGGCCCGTATAAAAACCCATTTGCATTCAACCAACGAACTCGTGGGACCACTTGATCGTTTGATGGGACTGGGAGAGACCACAACAAACATCGCTGTCTTGTACGGTTACTAATGAAAAAACCGAACAAATGTGTTGTGTACGTACACCCTGCTGTGCAGTGCGGTCGTTGAACCGCAACTGGAGCTGTACACTGTCCTGCTTGAAAACGTGCGCTGTCGTGCCATGGTTCGACTCGCTCGCGTCGCGACGCAACAGAATTGCAGAAACGAGTTTGTGATGTGTTCCAACCAGGCTCTTGTTGTGATTGCTGTGCAACCACCAAGAAGTTAGCTCTCTGCATCCGAGCTTCTAAAATCTGACCTTAGGAGAGTATCGCCATGATTCTTTCTGCGACTTCCAGAGCGAAGTCGGGAGTATCGGCTCAGCGAGATAAGCAGAGAAATGCGAATTGTTCGCTATCACGCGTTGGGTATCCCCAACAATCAGCAGGGTGTGCTGCGAAGCTCAAGACATCATGAAGTACTAGACAGCGCTTCTAGCCGTCTGAGACTATTCTAATTAGGGATAGCAGTTCCCCAGGTGCGTGCAGTATCAGCGTGCGTCCGCCTCTGTCTCTACCTCCCGCTCACAGCATTGTGACATGGACCTGGTGCGGAAACTCAAGCGGCGATTGCGCAGCATTGGCGGCGCGAGTGGAATCACCGCGACAACCGGCGCGGGGGGGAGCTCCGCGGAATGCGCGGGTGACTGGCCGTCTGGCGTCATCAGCAAGTCCTTCTCCGTTGAATGCGGCGCTCCTCACGCTGGTCCAAACCCGTTGCTAGGAGCAACACACTCACATGCTCGTCCAGTCCCAAAGAATCACAGCAGCAATGCTACTAGTGATAGCCGTCTACAGGGGAAGGAGTTCCACCTCGAAGCTTCTGGCGTGACTATTTCGGAAGAAGAGGACCGGCGGCAACGGTCATCAAAGCCACCGAGGCAAACGCAGCGCGCGGTATCGCAGCAGCAACGGGACGCTGGAGCGGGAAAAACAGGCCAGCGTTACCGCGCCGACGAATTCGCCGGCGACGCCGGCGAATCCGGCGCAGATCACTCACGGGGATCGAGGAGCGACGCGGAAGACTGCGGGTCGGACGAAATCAAGGGTGATGATTTGCAGCGGCGGCACACGTGGCAGGTTCAGGCGCAGCGTCATGCGTCCGACGTCGCCGCTGCAGCGGCCTTGCCAGAGTCCGCGAAAGCTTTCGCAAACAACCGCCACTCGAGTAGCGACCGTAACGACGACTTTCCGTATGATTTCGCGCACTCTGCGAGCTTCGCGGCGTCGGGGACTCTGCCAGGGACCGGTGCAGCCCTGCCGCCGCGACTCACGGAAGCGCAGCTGCTGCTTATACAGGCGGCGCAGCATGCAAGCAGCAGCGGGTTGGCGATCGATTGGGCACGTCAGCAGCAGCAGCAACACCGGAAAGTGACCGAGTGGCTAGGAACGCTGTCGGACCCAGTCGACCCACTCACCGAAACTCCGTTCGCTAACGCGGAACTGCAACAGGAAGCGAGTTCGTCTATTGCGAATCATGAGGCTGCCGCAGCACTGCTAGCGGCGGGTCGCGTGCCTCGCGTCGCCGCATGCGTTTCGCCTTCTGATTTTGACGGGCGCGCCGCGTCGCTCAACCCGCCGGCTGACGGAGACATGCTGGCGACGGTCAACCGGCAACTAAAGCTGGATTGCGCGGGCAGTCCGTCTGAAACGCCGAGTCCTGGAGTGCCAAGCCCGCGCGGCGTGATATTGCGGGGCAGCGGTGGCACGGGAAGCAGCGGGGACGGGGAAGAGGCGGAAAACGATCGGCGGAAAGCGAACGGGCGGAGAGATTGCGAAGCTAGTAAAGCGGAAGCGAGGGGTGATTGGGCCCCAGGTTGCGAGCGGACGGCACAACGAGATTGCAAGGGGAGCGGTAGCGTCGGCGACGGCAGCGAGTGCGGCGGCGATCTTGAGTGTGGTTCGCGCAGCGGCAAGTGGGGAGCAGACGATGCTGTCTGCAAATCAAAGCAGCCGGGAGCGATCGACAGCGCGTCGCTAACAAGCGTGCGCGTCGCGTATAATCAACTCGTGGCGACCCGCCAGTCGGAGCAGGTGCGCGGGGCGAGGGCGCTGCGGGACCTGGCGCGGGAGAGCGACGCGGTGCGGAGCTCAATCGTGGCCGTCGGCGCAATCCCCGCGCTCGTGTCGATCGTGAATCTCGCCGCAACTGCGCCTCACGTCGCCGCCACCCGCGACACCACCGTCGCGTCGCTTATCCTCGATGGCGGAGGCGGCGCGGCGACGGAAACTGGCGCGCCGCTCGGCGGTACTAGACTTAATTCCGCTTCGTGCGAGGAAGGCGGAAATGAAGCGACAGCGCAGGGAGGCCGCGAGCGCGCCTTGACTAGCTCGTTAGTGGACTACTCGATATCGTGTCTGGTGAATCTGAGCATCACTCGCGACATGAAGGCCACCATCTGCCAGGCGGGCGCCGTCCCCCCGCTCATCCGCCTCATGTGCTCCGCGCGCCCGCCCTCGTGCGCGCCCGCGTGCGCCTGCTGCGCGCCCACGTCCGCGTCCACGCGCGCGAACGCAGCAGTGGCGCTGCTGTCGCTGTCAAAGCTGAGCGACGCTACGAGGCTGCACATGGCTTACTCGGGTGGTGTCGAAGCTCTCGTCCACTTCCTCTCGGATTCTCCTTCTGACGCTCCTGATTGCCCCGCTGCAGCTTCTGGTGCGCCTGCTACTGGTGGGTTGCAGGGCAGTGGCAGCAGCAAGAGTTGCAAGGGGCGGAGGGAGGCGGCAGCAGCGCTACAGAGCCTCGCATCTGTCCCAGCAGTGCGGCCACGGCTGGTGCACGCAGGAGCCGTGCCGCTGCTACTCGAACTTGTCGGCCATGCTGCGGCCTCGCAACTCACATGCAGCAGCAGATCGCGCGGTGCAGAGAGGAGGACGCAGCGGACGAGCCGCACGGAGGATGACGCAGTGGCTACTGCCGAGCGGGCGCTGGCAGTGTTGGCGTTGCTTGCGGAGAGTGAGGAGGGCAGAGCGGAGGTGCAGCGGAGAGGGGGGATGGAGGTGCTGGTGAGGGTGGTGCGCGCGGGTGGACCCACAGGGACGTGTGTGGAGCGAGCGATATCAGGGCTGACAGCTATGGTGGGAGGGAGCCTGAATTGCAGATGGGAGGTGGCAAGGATTGGTGTGGAAGGGGCAGTGAAGGAGGTGGCTATCCATGGAAGCGGGAAAGCCAAGGTTAAGGTGAGTAATGAGGGAGGATCCACAGCTACATTTGTCAGTTTTTTTTTTCTTTCTTTCTTTCTTTCTTTTTTTTCTTTTTTTCCGCCTCCCTTCCTTTCCCTTGCCTCTCTGTCTCGCTTGGTATCAATCACAGGAGCATGTTTCTGTTGTTGGTGGCCAACTCATCTCAAATTTTGCTTGTGAGATGCACATGGCTTTCTTATCATGTCTTATTCTTTCGTTCACCCACAATGGCAGGCAATAAAGTTCATGGACATGCTTCAAGCACCTCCTGCTCTAGGCTGAAGGTGACATCATACGGCCTCCATCTCACTTCATCAAATGCTATTCTCAATGTTTTGATAATAGTTCTCTGTAAAGTTTTGTCTTACCATCGGTTTTCCTGGTTTCCCTTTTGGTGGGCTGCGTTTTGTTTTTCAGCTGTTGCGTGTATGTAAGGGTTTTCTGTTGTACAACTAAATCACACCGTACTTATCTTCTATACATGACAAAGAAGGAACATCCCAACCAAACCAAGTGCTGCCGTGTGCCTATGTACCCATGAAAGAGTGAAGCCCAAAACCAGAAAGCTACACGTTGATGTCAGGCTGTGGTGCAGGACCTTGTTGGTTCTTTTTTATTTAAATGATTTCTCTTGCTGAAATGCGCCAGGGAAGTGTGGTAAAGCCAGGTATAGACGAAGGTAGTATTCGTTGAACTAGACATCTTTATTGCACAGTACCATAAATGTAAGGATTTACAGAATCCTTACTGAGGCACTCGTTAGCAAGGCCATCCCGAGGGTCACGGGACCTGTCCTTCCTATTTCGTCGCACCGAACCACTCCCGAGTCGCCTCCGCTCCAATCGCAACCATCACCGAGCCATCCTCGCCCAACCTCTCCGCCTAGCTAAGACTTCCCATATTTAGTCGTGCCTTTCTCATTGCATCGTCATTCGGTAATCAGTTCATTCTCGTTATTCGATATTCTGCGCACTCTGCAAGTTCATTCATAACAATAAAGGTCAAAGCTTAAAAATCTGACTACACATGATATATTTTCAGACAATTCCAGCCCTTTTCAGCATACCTCCAATCGAAGCAACTTCTAGCAAGACAACTGGGATATAAATCCAGCCAGATTCTCTCTTCCCGATGAAGGCGGAAAATCGAGTGGGTCCCCTTCCATCTGCGCGTCCTGTGCAGGGCTGACGATTCAAGGGCAAATGCCCTTAATTCCCTGAACATTAAGGGTTGGGTTCGGCCCAGCTTCCGAAGTTTAAGGGTTGGGTTTGAGGGCAGCCCGTCCCCGCAAAGTGCTGGTTATGGGCCTAACTCGGATTTCAAGTGCCGATCCCCCGGCTCCCCTTATCGTCCCACACTAATACCTCCCTCCCTCCCATTCCCTCACCAGTCCCCCCGCCTCTCCCAGCCACTCCACTACTTCCTTTTCCCATCCCCGTCAAATCCATCGACATGGTTCGTACCTCAGCCTATTGCCTAGCTGGCTCTTAGTAGTTTGCCTAGGATACGGACCCGAATAGATGTAGGTTTTCCTTGCGAAAGTGCAAAAAAACTTGGTAGTCCTGATTTCAAGTGCCAGGTTTGCTCTCAGCCCGTAAATTTCAGGGCAACTTTTGGGGCACCTCTGCCTCTCAAGTTCTGGCTCCAAACCAATCAACAGCCCTGGTTCTGTGCCTCTTCCGCATTTCCCCCTTTCCCTTCCGCGTCCCTTTTCTGCCCCGCTCTTTCCTCCCCCATCCCACATGCCCGCAGCCACACCCGCCCCCTCCCACACCATCATCTTCAAACCCTCTGACGTCACGAATCCTCCATGCCCTAATCTCGCACCCAAGGCGCTCCGGCCAGCCAGCTATGCAGTTGTTGCCGTCTCGCACCCAGCTTTAGGAATTAAGATGCTTGCTGCCAAGCCTCACCTGCTCGTAGGCTCATTTTTGGCGCGGATCTGGTAACCAGATCGCGGTTGCGATCCGCACGTTCAGTTCACCCTGCCATGTCGTAAACTCGATCAGCAGTCATGCCTCCGGCTAAGAAGAAAGTTATAGCCGACGTGAAGGAGGGAGATCTCGTGCTCGCCAAAGTCAAGGGATTCCAGCCTTGGCCCGCCAAGGTCCCAATCACTCGCTCACTTGCTCTCTCACGTTCCTTCCTCGCTTCCCCGCTCGTCTTCTCTTCGTCTTAGTATCTCCGAGCGGAACCAGCGCATCGTTTTTTTCGGATCTTAACTAGCTTGCGAATCGTAAGGTCCCTTCAATAGTCGGAGCACACTAGTGATTAATGCGTCTCCTCCGAAGGGTCTTCACGTTTCAATTCTCGCGCGCCTCTCTTGGTTCCAGATCGTTCGTTGCCCGTAGCATCTTACTGCGCAAGCTCTCCGTCCTTTCGCTCGTTACGGTCAGATTCTGACAGCTGTCGACGAATCCGGCTGGCTGTCGCCGCGCGGCTTGGCATGAAAGAATGTCGTAACACCGAAAATGCTCGTGGGGGATCGTTAGGAGCGTATCCGTTACAAACTGACGCTTGACCGGTGGATTCCGGTCGGGCCGTCAGTTTCGGCCAATCAGCGCCTCTTTCCACCCTCTGCTTCTCTCATATGTCGTACTCACTCTCGAATCCTCCACCCTACGTCACTCTTCCTCTCACCTGTCCCACAGGTCATAAGCGCAGAGGAAGCACAGAAAGCTGATGTGAAATTGAAATATAAGCCAAACAAGGTCTATGTAACCTTCTTCCCATCCGGGCAATTGTGAGTCCCTCCACCTCCTTCCAGCTAGTCATGGGAACTCGTATGTCGCTCGTAGGACGGCATGTGGGATGGGATGCACGTATGATCAAAACTTCGCTGAATTCTCCATTTGCCAGTTGAGCCACTCGTCCTTTTCCCTCCTGAATGGCAAGACCAATCACCCCAGAGCCTCGTATCTAACCATCCCCCCCCTCCGCCTCCTCCTCTCCCTTCTACCCCCCCCTCCACTCCCCTCTGCCCTCCTCGCCCTATGTTTCCGACCCCACCCGCGCAGCCGCGCGTGCAATCCCGCGGATGTCACCCCCTTTTCCGCGGAACTGCGCGAGCAGCTGACTGCGCCGACCGCCAGGCGAGTATCGGCGGACTTCTCGATTGGGCTGGCAATGATGTGCGAGCTGCAGGATAGGCGGAAGGAAGGCCAGGCGGAGGGGGAGCAGGGGGGCGCGGCGGGGCGGGCACAGGCGGTGGGGGAGAGGTCGGGGGGCGCGGAAGACGCCGCAGCTGCTGCACAGGTGGGTCAAGAAGGGCTTTAAGAGTGCTAGGGCTGTTTGTCTTGTGATTTGATCTCCAGCTGTCGGCTTGCAACCATAGTCCTCCCCTCCTTCCCACCCGCCCTTCTGCTCCCCCACCCCTCTCCCGTGCTTTTCCTTCGTGCTGCAGCAGCCAGACCAGGCCGCTGCTGCAACCGCAGACTCTGCTGACCCTAGAGCGCAGCCCGAGCATGCAGGGGACGCAGCTGCCGCTGCTGCAGGTGCCCCGGGATTAGCCCAGGCTGGTCCAGACAGGGAGGCAAGCCAAGATATGGGGCAGGGGGAGGGGGAGGGGGAGGGGGAGGGGGAGGGCGAGGATGCGGTAGGTGCACTGGGGACCTCCCCAGTAGCTACCCGCCCCTTGGAAAACGGCGAAGGGGGAAGATTTCCGACAGAGGCGCTGCTGGGAAACGGGGAGCGAGAGGGGCGGAATGGGGAGGGAGCGGAGGATGGGGAGGGGTTGGGGTTGCAAGGAGTGGACGCTCGGGGGGGGATAGTGAAGGATTTTCACGTTGTGGGCCCGGATATTCTCAACTCCGCGTGGCGGAAGCGGAAACGGCTGGAAGAGCTGGGGGATGTGGGCGCAGCGGAGAAGAGGAGAGATGGGGCGGGAGATGGGGGGGCGGGGCTTGAGGCGGGCGGGGAGGAAGCGGGGGAGAGTGGGGACGGGCGCGAGGGCGTGGCGGCGAGTGGTATAGAAGCTGTCTTGAACGGTGGTAGGAAGGGAGTAGGTGGAGGGAAGGATGGTGCGGATGGGAGGGATGGGGAGGAGGGTGTTGAGGATGGTGGTGCAGCTGTAGCTGAGGAAAAGAAGAGTGGTGATGGAGGAGTGGGAGAGAGAGAGGTTGCAACGGCGGGGGAAGGGTATAAGAAGGCGGGGGCGTCGCAAGAAGTTGGTGTGAAGGCGGACGGGGAAAAGGGCGAGCAGACGGAGGAGGGGAAGTGCGAAGGCGAGGTGAAGGACGGGGGTGGAGAAGGGATTGTGGGCGTGAAGCAAGAGGCATGTGCTGCTGAGAGTGCGAGTAAGAGAGTTTCTGTGCGAATGGAGGAAGATACAGGTCGTACTGTGGCTGGAAGCTGCAGCGAGACGGAGGTTTCTGCAGGGACGAAGGAAAGGCAATCTGTGGCAGCGGCAATGGTTCAAGTGAACGTGTTTACAGACGGAAGCGGAGGAGGTGCTCGTGCTGGTGGGGAGCTGGTACAGGTGGTGGTTCAAGAGGCTGTAGGGAGTCACGTGGAGTTTGAAGAGAAGGCGGTGGAAGGGGGAAAAGCGGAGGAGATGAGTGGGAGGGATGCTGGTGAGAAGGAGGAGGAGGCGAGGGGCAGGGATGGGAGGGCGAGGTTGGAGCAGCGGCCGGCGATTGAGATACTGGGAGCGGTGAGAGTGCAGGGCGCGGGCGGGTGGGTGAAAGCCTCTGCAGCTGCCTCCGCTGCTGGTGCTGTGGCGACGGTTGCTGCTGCTGGTGTTGCTGGTGCTGCTAGCTCTGGTGCTGGCGGCGCTGCTGGTGCTGGCGGCGCTGCTGGTGCTGGCGGTTCTGGTGCTGATGGTGTGGCGTTTTCCCGTGAGTCTGGTCAAGGGGAGGAGAGGCAGACGCGGTCGAGTGCAGGGAAGGCAAAAGAGCCGGAGAGGGAAGGGAGGGGAGAGGGAGTGAAGAGTGGCGTGCAGGCATTGTTGCAGGGAGGGCAGAAGGGAGGGGCGGGGGAGAGGAGAGCCCTGAAAGGGCTTGAGGTGCTTCAGAGGGCGCAAGGCGCGCAGGCCAGAGAGGGGGAGAGGGCGGAGAGGGCGGAGGGTGGTTCTGGGCGTGGGGTTGGGAGGGAGAGGGAGGGCAAGGGAGAAGAGAAAGGCAGTGGGGTGGAGAAGGAGAGTGAGGGGAAAGTGGGGGTGGAGGGGGCGAGGGAGAAAGGTTTGAGGGGACAAGAGGGGAAGGAGCAAGGGGTGAGGGAACAATGGGGGAGAGAACAAGGAGCGAGGGAACAAGGGTCGAGAGAAAGCAGGAGAGGCGTGGACAAATTGAGGGAAGGAGAAAAGAGACCTCTGTCTAGGGAGAAAGAGCTGAAAGATGCGAGAATGGAACGAGGGAGGAAGGAGCTGGAGAAAGAGGGGGTGGTGATGAAGCGACCCGGCCAGATGGGAGGCAAGGGCAAGGCAGACGCGAGGGGGAATGTGGGAGGGCGGCAGGTGGGTGGTCCTGGTGGGCAATCAGGAAAGAGTCCTGTGGGTGAATCGCTTGTGGGTATGAAAAGGAAAGCGCGGTGGGATGGTGCTGGCGCTGACGCTAGTGAGGAGGGCAGAAAGCAGGGTGGGAAAGAGCTGCTCAGGGGGACTGGGACGGCGGCAGCAGGAGCAGCAGCAGCAGGAGGAGCAGGATTAGGAGGAGGAGGAGCAGGAGGAGCAGGGGACGGTTCCAGGGCAGCAGGAGGTGGTGCTAGTGGTGGTGCGAGTGGTGGTGCTGCAGGCGCAGGTGGCCAACGGCCCAGCCCCAGGACGTGGAGAGGGCGAGATTCAGAGGAGATTTGGAAGGAACTCGGGCAGATGGGGTTGCTGGGGGAGGGGGATGGGGAAGAGGGAGCAGGCAGAGCGGTGCAAGTGGGAATGAGTGTGGTGGCAGGAGGGGAGGCTGGGGGCGAGTATGTTAAGGTTGAGTTAAGTGTGTGTGAGGGGGCGGTGCTTGGAGCAGGGGCCGTGAGGCGGGAGTTTGTGGGGGATTTGAGGGTGTATAAGAGGAGAAAGATGAGTGGGAAGGGATACAGTGCGGTGCATGAGCAGCAAGCGGGGCAGGTTCCGGGAAGAGCGTTTCTGTATTGGACTCGGCGTTACCAGCAGATGTTGTTAGAGAGAGGCACGCTGCAGCTTCTGCCGGCTAGTCAGAAAGCCCTGCGCAAGGAGCAGGAAGAGCAGCAGCAGGAGCAGCAGAGGAGGAACCAGAGGCGCGTGCAGAAGCAGCAGCAGCAGGTGAGGGAGCAGGTGGAGAGGAAAGGGAGAGTGGCAGCACAGCAGCAGGCAGCGGGAGCTGCAACTGCTGCCGCCGCCGCTGCTGCTGTCCCGTCATCCTCTCTCACGGATCTTCTGCAGCAGCTGCAGCACACGCTAGAAGCTGAGAGGGGCCAGATGGACGAGCAGACGCGAGAAGCCGCCATGCGTGCTGCTGCTGCTGCCGCTGCGGCCGCCGCTGCTGCTGGTGCTGGTGGCGGTGGGATCGCATCTGCTGCTGCGTCGGCGCTAGCTGGCTCCTCTGGTTCGGGATCTGCAGGGGGGTCGATAAATCTTGTGTCTCCCAGGGGGATGAAAGCGACAGCAGGGGGGAAAGGTGCATGGGGAAAGGCTCCTGGGGAGATGGGTGGGAGTGGGGAGCAAGGAGCAGGGGTGAATGGGCCTGGGAAGAAACGAGGAAAGGATGGGGCAGAGGGGAGGGGTGATGTGGTGGTGAGATCTAGGTTGCTGCGAGGGGGGTCGGACGGTGGGGGTGGGGAGGCGGATGAAGGGGAGAGTGTGAGAGGGAAGGGGGTGAGTGGAGGGAAGAAAGGGGTGGGACAGGAGGGACGGGTGCAAGGGCTTGGTGGGTTCAAGAGTAGCAGTTTAAGGAGGGGGGTGGGAGACGAGGGGGATGGGGGAGAAGCGGGTAAAGGAGTGAGAAAGAAGACGGTTGGGAAGGGTTATGAAGGGGTGAAGGATGGAAGGGAGACAGGGAGTGGGGCAGGTGAGGGGGAAGGGGGAATCAGCACTCGGACTAGAAGAAAGGGGCATGGGGGTGGGGATAGGGGCAGACAACTTGCTGTGGAGGGGCGTGGGAAAGAGCAGGGTGAGGACGAGAGCAAGGAGGGAGAGGGAGAGGATGATGAGAAAGAAGAGGAAGACGAGGACGGGGAGGAGGAGGATGAGGATGAGGAGGATGAAGAGGAGGAGGAGGAGGAGGAGGGGGATGTGTCTTCTGAAGACTCAGCTGGGTCGGAAGTTCTGGAGGTGGGGGAGGAGGATGAGCAAGTGGAGGTAGTGGGGGGCAGGAGCAAGGTGGAGAGGCGAGGAGTGGCCCCTGGTGGTGTGAGAGACGGGGTGAGGGAGCGGGCAGGGCAGAGGGTGCATGGGCAGGGGGGCAGAGGGTCTGGGCCGTTGCACGCAGCAGGGAGGAGAGGAGTGGGGCCGTCATCAGCAGCAGAGGCTCAGGGTCGGTTGTTGGAGCGCAAGGGGCTCAGGGAAGGAGACAGGTGTGTTCTCGTCACTTGCTGCTACTGTACCCCACCGTTTGTTACCACTTGCCACTACTTGTCACCGTTTGCCACCACTTGTCACCGTTTGCCACAAGCTGTTACCTTATGCCACTTGCGCTGTTCACAGACCATTTGGCACTTGCGTTTCTGTTTTTCCTGTGGTTTCCCTGTCAGGCCAAAGCTGCAGGCACCCTACGAGGGACCCGTTCCCTCTCGACCATTCAGAGCCAGCTTCCCCAAGCCAACCGGCCCTACTGCTACCACTACTGCTCCTAAACCTTCTGCGGCTTCTGCCCCTACCTCGGGGCTTGGTTCAGCGGCTGTGCCTGGTACTGCTTCTGCCCTGCTAGCGTCCTCCCAACCAAGCATGAGAGATCTTCTCAAAACCGCTGCCAATGCAAAGAAGGCGCTTCTGACCTCCGCCTCTTCCCCCAGGCGAGTGGGCGATGCAGGACTGGCAGGGGACGGTTTGGGTGGGAGCGGTGGTGCTGCAGGGGTTGCTGGGGATGAGAAAGAGGGAGACGAGGCTGGAGGTGCGGGTGGTGAGGTGAGGGCAGTGGAAGGGCGAGGGGGTGCTGGTGCTGGGATGGGCGAGCGGCAGGAGGGTGGGAGTGGGCAGGGGGATGGGGAGGATGGAGCGGAGGGGTGGAAGGGCAGGGGGAGTGTTGCAGGTGCAGGGGCCATCGGTGATGCAAGGGATGGTGTGGCATGGGCGGGAGGGGCAGCAGACACGGATGGAAAAGGGGAAGAGCCGGGGAGCAGTGGTAGAAGAGGAGGGGCGGGAGGGGGAGGAGGAGGGGGTGTGGGAGGGAGTGGTGTGGGTGGTGGTAGTGCGGGTGTGGGTGCGGGGAGTGAGCTAGAGTCCGCAGTGATGAGGGATACGTTTGGGGGCATGCTGGAAACGCTGTCTCGCACCAAGGAGAGCATTGGTCGCACGACTCGGCACGCCTTGGCATGTGCCTGCCTTGGGATTGCAGACCAGGTGCGACTCTGCCCTGCTGTTGTTGTTGTGAATCATTTCTTTCTTACCCCTCTGCAGCTCATTCATTGTTCCTCCGCTCCGCTCCACCTTCTCTCCTCCCGCTCCACCCCTCCTTCTGCCCTGGTCTTTCCCTTCCTTCAAATATGTGCGTGGCTGTGCACATTGTGTATTTCTCCCCCTGATTTTAGGCCCATGCATGCTCGCGATTCGCCAGTGTAAATTCCGGGCATGAATATAGTCCTGGTGTCAGTGAGGCTCCGTGCAGTGCACTCATATTCTTCCTATGCCCATGCATCCGACCTCATGTTTGTGCCTCGCGGCTTATTGAACTGGTGCATGCATGTGTGTGTGCGTGTGCGTGTGCGTGTGCGTGTGCGTGTGTGTGTGTGTGTGTGTGTGTGTGTGTGTGTGTGTGTGTGTGTGTTTGTGCACTTGCGGGCGTGCGTGCCTTTGGGCATGTGCACATGTGTTTGCATGTGTGTGTACATGTGCGTGTACATGTGCATGTACATGTGTATGTGCATCATGTGTATGTGCATGTGCATGTGTATCTGCGTGTGCATGTGCATGTGCATTGTCATGTGCATGCGTGCATGGGTGGGAGCAGGTGATGGAGATGGTGGTGTCACGGCTGGAGAACGAGATGAGCATGCATCGCAAGGTCGACCTCTTCTTTCTCGTCGACTCCATCACCCAGAGCTCGCACCTCAAAGGCAAGTCCGCCCCGCACCTCGTTAGTCTTTGCAAAGCCGCTTGCACAGGTCAGTGCAAAAGCACATGGGAAGGCAAGGGCATGTCTTCATCGAACATACACGAGCAGCGTGTGCATCTGATTTCCCACATTTCAGATGCAACGCACAGCCTGTTTCAGCATTCACGTTCCTCCTTCCTCCCTCGTTCTCAAGCCCTAGATTTCGCTTCTCTCTCAGCTTCACCAAGCTTCCAGTCCAGCCTCTCTCACCTTTTCCTCTTATGATTCCTTCCCTCCCACCTGTACAATACTGGTAACCCTGTAACTGCACGGGCACCAGGTGGGCCGCCGGCAGTGTATCCGGAATTGGTGAAGGATGCCTTGCTACGTATCGTCACGGCTGCTGCCCCTGCGGGCCCTGCTGCTCACGAGAACCGCCGCCAGTGCATCAAGGTGCGTTGCTGCGTGCGTCATCCATTTACCGCGTGCGTCATCCATCAAGGTGATGGATGCTGGTTGGCGTTGGCGGGCTGGTCTGGTCTGGTGTTAGAGGAATCGTGCTGATGATTTGTTGTTGATGATAAGTTTGCTCTCTGGTGGATGAGGATGATTGGTGATGATTCGGGGAAGGTGATTGTGCTGTATGGTGGGCGTTGTGGAAGCACAGGCAGGTGGCATGGTTAAGTTCCTCGAGCCAAACGAAACAGTAAAACGCTCGTGGCTTATCCTATCTTCCCTCTCTCCTGCTCTGCCTCGTCTACCCCCCCGTTCCTGCTCCTCCCCTTCTCACTCCGCCCATACCTCCTCTTTCCCCTGCAGGTTCTGCGGTTGTGGAAGCCAGGCAGGTGCTGGCAGAAGAGGTACTAGCACACTACATAGACCAGATTGAGGCTCGCAACCGCGACCACCAGCTCTCAGCCATACCCTTTTCTCATCCTTACCTGCTGCTCCCCTTCTCCTTTCCGCTTCCCCTGCAGGTTCTGCGGCTGTGGAAGCACAGGCAGGTGCTGGCAGAAGAGGTACTGGCGCACTACATAGACCAGATTGAGGCTCGCAACCGCGACCACCAGCTCTCAAGCACACCTGTCCCGCCCTCCTCTCTCCTGCAAGCCCAAGCTGTATCAAGAGGCGGAGCAGGGGAGAGAGAGCAGGAGGAGCAGGAGGCGAGGCCTCCTGGGCATTATGATCCGCAGTTGCAGCAGCACGGGCAGGAACCGGGGCAGGGGCAGGATGGTGGGAGGAAACGAGGGGTGGAGTTCAAAGTTCCGGCGTACGGGCAGGGGAGTGAGCATGGAGCGGGGGGGCGAGGAGAAGGAGGGGCGCATGGGCAGGAGCAAGGGGCAGGGGCGCAGCAGTCACACCACCACGGGAATTTCGCCCATCCACATAAGAGTTATCACAAGGGGGAGGGGGGAGCAGGGGGAGGGGGACAGGGAGTGGGTGCGCACATGCTGGTGCCGATGATAAACTCGGATCGGCAGCTGAGACGGCCGTCGCGGTCTGAGAGGGCGCTGGATGATCCGTTGAGGGAGATGGATGGGCTAGTTATGAACGAATATGGCAGGTGCGTGTGGGATGGATGGTGGCATGGGTGTGTGCGAGTGTAGTTTTGAGACGTCTCAAAACTGGATGATCCTTTGAGGGAGATGGATGGGCTAGGTATGAATGAATATGGCAGGTGCGTGTGGGATGGGTGGTAGCATGGGTGGTGGAATGTGTGGTGGGATGGGTGGTGGGATGAGTGTGGTGTGGGATCGGTGTGGTATGGTTGTGGTATGGATGGTGGATGGGTGTGGGATGGGTGTCCATGGTGTGCTGTGCTGTGTGGTTGAGTCGTGGCTGAGAAGGGAGGTGGGGTCTGTGGTTGGGAGTCTCTGTACGTGCTGTGCCCGTTGCCTTGTTTCCTTGTTTTACCTGCCCTTTATTTTCCGCGCTGCATTCACTCATCTGCTTGTGATGTGCATCTCTCCCACCGTCCCATGGCCGCAGCAACGCCACATTCGCCCTGGCCAGCCTTCTCACCGCAAAACTCGGGGACGCCGAGGCTCAAGCAACCGTGCCTAGTGCTGCTGCGGTGACAGCAGCAGCGGTTGCTGCGGCGGCGACCACAGGTGCTGCTGCAAGCACTTCTGGCTCAGATCCCCTCCGCTCTGAGTTCTCTCTCCCTCGTTCCCGCTCCGCCCATTACGACACGCAAAGGAGCCCTCTCGGCTTGCAAGGCCCTGCTGCTGCTTCCGCTTTCACTGCTGCTGCTTCTGCTGCTGCTGCTGCATCTGGGCCTGGGATATTCCTTTCTCAAGCGTCCGCCTCTGCTTTGCAACCGTACTCGTCAGAAGCTGCTTTGCTACAAAGTAAGGAGGTTGCTGGAGGAGTCAGGGCTGAACAGGGGCAGGCAGGAGGGCACGAAGGAGCGGAGAGGGCTAGGGGTGCAGAAGGCAAACCTGAAGGGGGCCTGGGAGGTGGATCGGGATCACTGCTTTCTGCTACTGCTGCTACTGCTGCTACTGCTGCTACTGCTGCTACTGCTGCTACTGCTGCTACTGCTGCTACTGCTGCTACTGCTGCTACTGCTGCTACTGCTGCTACTGCTGCTACTGCTGCTACTGCTGCTACTGCTGCTACTGCTGCTACTGCTGCTGCTGCTGCTGCTGCTGCTGCTGCTGCTGCTGCTGGTGGTGCTGGCATCGTTGGGGGCGGGTTCCTTACAAGGGGCGCCCCTGGGGAGCAACAAGGGTCCGCGTTCACTGGTGCAGCAGCAGCGGTGGCAGCAGCAGTTGCCTCTGCAGCATCTGCTGCAGCCAGCGCGGTGGCTGCTGCTGCTGCTGCTGCCGCCTCGGGAGTGCCGCGGCCTGGCGTTGTACTGAGGGATAGCGGTGCTGGGGGCAGTGCGGCACGGGGCAGCGGTCGTGTGTTCTCCCAGTATCCACCGTCCCAGGGTAAGTTTACAGGAGGTGGCGGTGCTGCAGAGGCGTCTGTTGGTGCCAAGTCAGAGCAGGGATTTGTGGGGCGTGCACTCCCTGCTGCTGGATCGGCAGAGGCAGCTGCGCCAGCAGCAGCAGCTGGAGCAGGAGCAGCTGTAGCAGCTTTAGCAGCAGCAGCGGCAGGAGCAGGAGTAACAGGGCAAGCAGGGGTGGGTTTGCCAGTGCCAGTAGCACCGTCAGCACAGATAATGGCCCATCCATTAGCAGCTGCAGACAGGACTGCCTCTGGAGGGGCAGCAGCAGCAGCAGCAGCAGCAGGGGATGCTGCTGCAGGTGACGGGACACTGTCTGCAGTACCTCCAGGTGCAGCAGCAGCGCTAACAGCAGCGCCGCCACCGCCCCCCACTGCGCCGCCCCCTCCTATGCCCCCCCCACCTCCGCCTCCGTCCTCCCCACCGCCCTCGCCGCCCCCGCTCCCATCCTCCCCTCCCCCTTCCCCCCCTCCGCTCCCTCCTGGATCCCCTACAGACATGGATATGGAAATGAGTCCAGGGGGGGCGCAACCCCCTCCTTCCGCCTCTCCTCCCCCTCTGCCTCACCTCTCCGCCCCCCCTGCTCCATCTGCTCCTCCTCCTCCTCCACCTGCCCTCCCTGCTGCTAGCGCTGCTCCCCCTGCAAGCCACCCAAGCAAGCCCTCGGGGCCACTCACAATGCCCCCGCCTCTTCAGCCGCCTCAGGCCCCGCTTCCCCTGGCGCCTCTGCCTTTCCCCCACATGAACCCGCCCCAGTTCCCGCCCCCCTTTGCCCATGGCATGCAGGGGGGACCTTCCGCCCCCCAGCAGCAATTCAGGGGAAATGGAAACTGGTTCCCCTGCCACTTTCCCCCACCTGCGCATGTGCAGCAAGGGCCGATGGGTGGAGGGGGGAGAGGCTTGGGCGAGGGAGCGGAAGGGATACGTGGGATGCAGGGGTTTGGAGGGATGGGCATGGGCGCTAGCGTAGGTGCTGGTGCTGCTGGTGTTTCTGCAGGGCAGCAGCAGCAGCAGCAGCAGCAGCAGCAGCAGCAGCAGCAGCAGCAGCAGCAGCAGCAGCAGCAGCAGCAGCAGCAGCAGCAGCAGCAGCAGGAGGAGGATATGCGGATGGGGAAATCTAGGCAGGAGGGGAAGGAGGCGGAGAGGCCTGTAGGAGCAGGCAGATCGGTGGAGGGGGAACAGCAGTGGCAGGCACGGCACGCAGACAGCACAGACAGGCGAGGGGACGTTGAGAAGTTTGAAGGAGCGAGGGGCCAAGGGATTGGGAGGTCGGAGGCGAGGGAGGAAGTGCAAGGAAGTGGGGAAAGAGTGAAAGCCAGTATGGGGATGTCCGGGAGAGAGAGTGGGGAAGGGAGGGGGCCTGCGAGGGTAGCAGCAGGTGCGGTGCATGGCAATGCACCGTCTCCCCAGAAAACACTGCCCCCTCTCGTGGCCACCCCTGCCCTGAACCCCCTGCCTCCTTCGGCGTCAGGGTTGGCTGCTTCTGCTGCGACTGGCAGCGCTGCAGCTGCGATTGGCAGCGCTGCTGCTGCAGCAGCAGCAGTGGCTTCACAGAGGCAAGTAGCTGCGCCTGTAGCTTCTGAGGAATCGCCTGTGAAAACTCCGCTCACAGCAGTTTCCCACAAGGAGCAACAGCAACAGGCGCAGCAGCAGCAGCAGCAGCAGCAGCAGCAGGAGCGTGTGGAGGTGGCAGGGCGACTGGCAGGGCTGCAGGTGGGTGAGGGACGAGCATTGCACGCACGAGAGGAGACAGGCACAGCAGCAGCATCAGAAGCACCAGCAGCAGCGGCACCAGGGGCTGCAGAGGAGGAGGGGCAGGAGAGGGGGGCGGGCAGTCAGGATGGGTTGCGTACTCCCAGGAGAGTGCGCTCTTTCACCCAGACGCCAGGAGCACTTGCTGCAGGTGGCTACTGGACCCCTTCGTCTCTAGCTGCCTAGTGCTGTGCTAGCTCCCTATCGCTCCCTGTGCTGTTTTGGATTTCACATTTCTGTATTCCTGCTTGCATCTCTGCATGGTAGGAGCTGCTGTGTGTCTCCTTTTGCAAACACGGACCCGCTTTTCAATGCTTCTCCTGCATTCATGTCCATCCCATGCCCAGCTGTGCCCGCCAATTCACTCTTACCACTGTCCTCATCCATCCCGTTTTCGCCCCTCTCCTACTCCCCTCTTCCCCGCTCCCCACCCCCTCTCTCCCCATCTCTCTCCCAGCCTCCCCAAGGAGTTTCAACGCCCAACCACACCTATCCACCTCGCCAACCACGCCCTACACCCCATCCGCTCCCCCTCAGCTCTTCTCCCTCTCCCCCTTCACGCCTCTGCAAGCTGGGAAACCGTACAGCACCCAGGGCCCCCCTCAGTCCTTTACTACTCCAACTTCTGCTGCCGCAGCTGGATCAGCAGGTTCAGGAACGTCTGCTGCAGCAGCTACGGCTGCAGGAGCTGCTAGCGTTTCTGCTGGGGCTGCTGCTGCTGCTGCAACTGGCACTGCCCGCGCAGGTGATGCGTTGGCTTCTAGAGCTGGGCCTGCTGCAGCAGAAGCAGAAGCAGCAGCAGCAGCAGTGGGAGAGAGCGGCAGAGAGAGTAGCATGCAGGGGAGCGTGCAAGGGCAGCGCACGGAGAAGAGGGAGGAAAGCCTCAGCCAGGGGCCACAGGGGCAGGCGGAGGACAGGGCGGGTGCGAGTGGGGAGGAGATGCAGCGTGGAGGGTCACCGGAACGCAAGTCTGGCCTCATGGGCCCGCCTGCTGCTCCCTCTGCTCCTGCTAGTGCGCCGACTACCCCTGCAGCATCAAGAACCCTGTCTGGAACAACCCCTGTCAACACACCGATATCTGCCTCTGCAGTAGCAGCAGCAGCAGGTGCAGCAGGTGGTGCAGGGGTGAAGCGTTCTCCCGCGCAGCAAGGCCCGAGCCAGAGTCAGGGTCACCCGGTGTCACCACTCCCTCCTCCCGCCCGTCCCCCTCAAGCCTCCCCCATGACCGCTCCTCCCCCGCGCCGCACCTTCCGAAGCTCTTCCGGCTCTACTGGGGATGCTCCTGGTCCTCACCGGTCTCTCTCGCCTTCCTTCCGCCCGTCTCTATCTCGCTCCTCGTCTGGCCACTCCTCTCCTCCTTCCGGCATGCCCCATTCTCCTCCCCACTTGCGCCGGTCGCCGAGTCACCCGCACATGCATGCGCATTCAAACCAGCGGGGGGCACATGGGCATTCTCACCCGCACCCACACTCGTTCGGGCTGGGACCAGCAGCAGCAGGGCACGGGGCAGGCATGGGTGGGGGGCCAGGAGAAGGGAGCATGCACACTGAGTGGAGAGGGGGGGGACCGGAGAGAGGAGGAGGTATGGAGCGAGGGTCGGGGATAGAGAGGGGCATGCCGCATGGATACCCCAACTCGCCTCCTCGCGGCGGGTTGCAGTTCAGCTGGCGGGTCCAGCCGTTGGCCGATGGGCCCCGCTTACATGGGTTTCCGCACCCGCATGGGCATGGGCCGGGACATGGTCCAGGCCATGGTCCAGCAGGATATGGCGATCGGCCACCTTCCCCTTCACGTTGTAAGTTGCTCTTTCCCTACTTGCTCCTTCTTTCAGTCACTCAATCTGTCTCGTTCGCCTCCTGTTCTCCACTGCTCTCTCTTCCCGTACCCCTACCCTCCGTCCCCTCCCCCACGCTTTCCCTTGTTCTCTTTTCGCCTCTTCCTGTCGCAATCTCTTTCTAGCCTGGTTGATGCAGCGCCTCTGATCTCGCCTGCCTCTCATTCCCGCATTCCTCTCCGTCCCATCCCATCCCTCCAGCCCCCCACCGGCGGCCTCCCCACCTGCACCGGGGGCCAGACAACCCCATCTCCTTCGCTGCTCCTCGCCATCACCCGCCGCCTCCCATGCACCCGCACCACCTGCCCTCGCAACCACCGCACCACCAGCAGCACCAGCAGCAGCAGTTGCAGCAGCAGCAGCAGCAGCAACAGCAGCGAGGGCAGCCGCCGTGGAACCCGTACTTGGGCATGGGTCCCCCACCCCCACCCCAGCACCACCACCAGATGCAGCCGCCGCCCATGCCTCCTTCCCCTCCGGACTCTCCCGGGCGGCAGTACCGCTGTGCTCCTGGTCCTGGTCCTGGCCCTGGTCCTGGTGCTGGTGCGGGTGCTCCCCCTGGCGGCATGGGCCAACGCCCCTCCTTCCGCCGGCCTGTTAGCTTCCGGCACCCGCCACCGCCGCAGCAGCAGCAGCCGTCGGCGCAGCAACAGCAGCAGCAGCCGCCGCCTCATTTCAACAGGTGGAGAACACACGGTCCCCCTTAGCTTGTGATGTGATCTTGTCCCCTGCCCCCTTGCATGGTACTGCTGTCCTTCCCACTCCTGCAATCCCTCTTGACCCCTGTCTGTCGCTCTCGTCGCTCCCCTCTCGTTCTACCTCACTTTTCCCCTTTCCCCCTTTCTGCACGTTTGGTACGCTCTCTTGCGTCCCACCTCTCAATTCCTTTCCCGCGCCCTCTCCCCTTGCACGTCTTTCCAGCCCTCACTCTTCTCTCTGAAAAGCATGACTTTGATGTGTCTAGTTGACGTGCCTACTGACAGGCATGTAGTGTGTCTAGTGTGGATTTGCCGAGTCATGGTAGGAGGGCGAGTGTGAGTGTGAGTGTGAATGCTGGGAGAATGGGAAGGAGAATGTGTGCACAATATGGGAGTGTAGACCAACAAAATCGGAACTTGTGTGTACAAGACATGAGCAAGCAACATTTTTTTTTCCAAGGTTTGGTTGAAACGCGTCGAACATAGCGCAAGCTGAATGGTAACAAAACGCTCTTAGTACGTATCATAGACTGGGATTGGGAAGAATTGAAAGCTAACAGTACCCCTAGAAGCACATTGCAGCCCCCAGCAGCACACACCGTACTGTAGTATCGGTCGGAAGGAGGGAGGGAGGGTAGTAGGTATAATGTACAAGCAACGACTGATAGTGAGGCCATGCGGTGTCTACCCTGCCTGCCTGTCTACCACTTTCACACATGGTGATCATTAGGCACCTACCTACAGTAAAAAGTGGTTGGGTAGTTATGGACTGGACAAGGTTGGATGAGGAGAGGCATGTTGTAGAGTAGGCAGATGAGGGTTACTGGTAGGTTAGCTTACGTTGATGTGTGGTTGGAGGTTTCCCTGTAACTGTATGCTTGTCACGTACACATGATGCCCGCTAAGTACCCACAACTTTTTTCATCATTTGGGTGTTTAGTGAGCAACAGCTTTTTCGCCTGCTCGCCAACATTCGCCATGAGCAAAATCGGGTCTGTAGTGGGCAGGTGAAGAAATGTAACCAGCGCCTTCAAAATATCTCACGAATGGACAGATGCCAGCGTGATAAGCTGTATGTTCAACGGCTGCGATCAAAATATGGGCTTGTATCATGCGTGCAACTGGCTGGTACCAAATGCAATTGGGCAGGCTGTTGAATACCGGCAGACCAAATGTGCGTGCAACAGCTGAGCATCATGTGTAACTTCACTGGGAATGGGACCTGATTTCAGAGATAGTGGGATATTTGCTGTAGTGTGACAGACGTCCTCATGTGATTACAGTACTTAAAACAAGATTGGCATTTGCTGCATTCAGTCTCTTGACAGGTGATTATGTGTAATGAGGCAGCTTTCCTCTACAGTGTTCCCGAGTCAAGAACTTAACCCTGCTCAGTTCGTCACATACAGTGCTGAAGTTTGTGTCGAGGCTTGTGATGAAACTTTAGAGTGAAGATATATATATTCATAGATACATGCACTGCCACAGCCCTAGCTTTATACCATACACACCTTTCACAATGCCAAAACACAACCAGACTTCCTGCTGCCATGTGCTCACCTACTAACCCCCCCAACACAGGTTCCACCTGAATCGTCCACCAGAATTGTCCATCTTCCTGACCTGCACACTGGCTCCTGCTCACCCCTTCCCTGCACTCCACCAGAATCGCCGTGCACATCCATATCCGGAAGGGGCGGATGGAGCACGCGCATACCACAAACCAGCTGAACACAAGCTGCTGCGCCTCGCACTGCTGCTGCTGTGGCACTACCTCAAGGGGCTGGCAGGGGGCATCCAGAAGGGGCGGATGGAGCGTGCGCGTACCACAAACCATCCGAACCCCCCAACTGCTGCACCTCGCACTGCTACTGCTGCTACGGCGCTACCTCAAGGGGCTGGCGGGGGGCATCCAGAAGGGGCGGATGGAGCGCGCGAGGGAGTACGGATCTGCCTCCCACTGCTGCACCGAGTCCCCCCCGTCGAGATCGTCTGCTAGGCGGAGTAGCTGGCGCTGCAGCAGCATCACGAGGAAGCGTGTCGCTGTGGTGGCGGCTCCTGGCAGCACACTGAACATGAGGGGCGCTGCTTCCCGGAAGAAGGAGAGAGCTTCTGAAAGATGGGAATCATGGCAGTGGGAGAGAAAGAGGAGGGCAGAAGTGGGTTGAGTATTTGGAGGAGCAAGGATGACGAGAGCGGAGCACGAAGAGCATTTGGAGCGGCGAGGTACACAGGTGAAAGGCAGCAGTGCAGAAAGGGGATGAGGCGCGAGCGCACAGGATGACGAGAGGCAGTGAGTGGACACTGTGCAGAGCAGCAGTGAGCATAGCAAAGCAACGCACCTGCAGGCGAGGACGGCCCTCCAACGGGCTCCATGCTTCTGAGCTGCGGGGCCAGCAGCGTCCACAGCCGCCGCAGGGTCCCCAGCGCCTCCACATCGTCATCTGACAGGCTGGCCGTGCGCCAGTCCCCGCTCACCATGCCCAGGACTGCCCCTGGGAGGAGGAGAGGCAGGGGGTAGGTGCCCGGCTGCTGCAGCTGCGCTGGCACTGGGAGGAGCGTGCGCGCGACGAGTGCGGACCAGAGCGCTGCTAGGGCCTCTCGTGACATGGCGTCCACTGTGCGCGCCATCTGGGGGAGGTGGGGGGTGGGGGACAGGAGAGGAAGCGCAGGGGAAGAGTGGGGTAAGAGGGGGGGAGTGGAGGCGAACGGGTGGAAGGGGAAAAGGGAAGGTTGAGAGGAGGCATGAGGGATGACGTGCAAAAAGCAAAACGGTGAGAGAGAGCGCAACAGAGAGAGCGAGTGAAAGAGCAGAGCAGAGAAAGCGAGGGGGGCAAGGCTGACCTCTGTGAGTACAAGCTCCTGCACGTAGCTGCCCTCTGGTGCCAGTACGGTCTGCACCACCTCCCATGCCACTGGATCCACCACACCTGCACCCTCATCCACCCCCGGCCATGCCACCGCTCCTGCTCCTGCTCCTGCTGCTGCTGCTGCTGCTGCTGCTGCTGCTGCTCCTTGCATTGCACCCACACCCTCTCTCCTCCCTGCCGCTGCCATGGCAACAGCAGGCCTGAAATCCCCAGTGCTTTCAGCATCACCCGAGCCCTCAGCAGAACCACCAGCTGCAGCTGTGGCATCATCGGGAGTGGTGGCGCCAGCGGCAGCAGCAGAGGCGATGGCGTCGACAGCTACGGCATCGAGGTGCGGGGAGGCGGAGGGGGACGTGGCCATGAGGTTGCGGAAGGAGAGGAAGTTCTGTGTGAGCTCCTCCACCCGTGCCACGTCCAGGCGGTCCCCTGACCCGTATAGGAAGTCCCTTAGCACTGCACGGGCGCGCGGACTGGGGGTGGGGAAGGGGACGAGGGCAATGGGCGGGGAAGGGGTGAGGGAACAAAGAAGAGAAGGTAAGGCAAGGGGAGGTTGGGGGAAGTGAGAGAGAAGAGGGGACAGAGAAAGTACATGCATCGCGAAAGGAACAAACAGCATTGAGCGAAGCACACACACACAACCCTCCCCATGCACCCACGCCCCAAACCACAGCCCCTCGCCCCATAGACACTCACGAGTCGTCAGTGAGCAGGCGCTTGGCAATGTACGGGTAGCACTCCTGCAGCGTGGAGTAGCTCGGATCCCGGTCCAGCCCAATCCCCTCCAGCGTGCCAAACGCGCGCAGAATCAGCGCAAAGTAACTTGGAATCACGAACACATAGTCCTGCGCCATGGACGAGAGATCCTCTGCCACCTGCCCGAAGTTGATGTTGCGCGCACCGCCTCCCTGGGTAATCTGAGACATGACGCGGGCTAGCTGCGGGACGGCGGACTTGGTCTTCTCCTCGTCGACCAGGTCCGGGGGGACGAAGCCCAGGACCACGAGGTCTTGCGCTACTCGCTCGTAGTCCGCGCTGAGCAGGTGCGAGATGTAGGAGACGAGTGCGTAGCGCTGAGGCTCTGTGACCTGTGGGGGCAGGGAGGGAGGTTGGGAGGGAGGGGTGCGGAGGGAGAGCAGAGAGAGCAGAAAAGGAGAGAGGTTGATGGTGGGAATGTTTGAAGGCGTGGAGAAGTGGGGGTAGTTAGGATGGGTGGGTGGTCAGCAAGAGGAAGAGTTGAGGGCGGGGGGCGCCAAGGGGAGTGCGAGAGAGTGACCCCCTAAACCCCACCCTCTACACTGACTTCCCTCCTCTGCCTCACCCCTCTCCGTACCTCCACATCCCTCCACATCCCTCCACATCCCAGCTTGGCCCCTCCCAAGCACCGCTCATGCCCCCCTGCACATCGCGCCATTCTGTCATGGATCCGAAGTCCAGGATGCACGGCATGCCGTCGGCGGTTCTGAGAAGGTTAGTGAGGCGCCTCACAGATCCCAAGCGCAGAGACACAACCGCACTTTGCAGCCCCTCTCTGCCACGCACCTCAGTCATGAATCCGAAGTCCAGAATGCACAGCTTGCCATCGGCGGTTCTGAGGAGGTTCCCCGGGTGCGGGTCGGCGTGCAGGAAGCCAGTCTCAAGCAGCTGGATGAGGTAGCAGTTGAGCGCCAGGGTCACCAGGCTGCTCACGTCCGCCGTCTCTGCGTCTGACAGCTTCTCGCCTTGCACCCACTCTGTTGTGAGCACCTGAGGTAGGAGGAAGGCGTGGATGAGGCAGGAGGGAGGGGAGACGGGGGGGGGGCCAGGGTGGGGAAAAGGGGGGGGGGGGGGGGGGGGGGGGGGGGGTTGTGATGTGTGAGGTGAAGTGAAGTGAATGGTGCATGTGTGTCGGAAAACTAGGGCGGATTAACGAAACGGAGCAAGGTAAGGGTAAGCGAGGTCCATGTATGTCAGTAGTCTCCTCCTGCACCCATCCCATCCCAACCCTGCATGGGTGCCTGAGCGTTCATGTGCACCCATCAGTTACAGCATCATCATACTCGCCCGCTCATCCATCTATCCATCTGTCTATCCATTGATCCGGCCGCTCAGTCACGTACGCGAGTGCTGGTGAGATCTGTGAGAACACGTGGCACCACAACGTTGCGCAGCCTCTGCATGTCCTCTCGGAAGCGCGTTGCATTCGCGCCCTGGCGGATGGGGTTGCGGATGAGGGGGACACGAAGAGAGAGGGGAGAGGGGGTGAGGGAGTGGGGAGGGAAGCGTGGTGGTCACACGAGCAACGCACACGAGAGGAAGAAAACGGGGAGGTGCAATTTTGCTCACTAGGAGAGAGACGGGTGGGAAAGGCAGGAAGGGTGAGAGGTGTGAGGAGTCGGGGGGGAGGCAAGCAACGGCAGGCCCGACGCGCATAGCAAGCAAGCAGCAGCAAAGCACGCGTACCGCGCCCCCGCGTCTCGTCCCCCCGCTCACCTCCTTCTGGTAGTCCAGCTCGTCCCAGAAGCGGCTCGAGAACGAGTCCAGAACTTCCGCTAGGTCCGTGTGCACGCCGGGGATGGCGGAGGCCACCTGCGCGAGCGCGCGCAGCAGCAGCAGGTCGCAGCAGATGTCCTCGCGCACCTCCGGCCGCTGCACCTTCACCGCCACGTCCTCCCCCGTTGCGCGCACGCGCGCGCGGTACACCTGCCCCAGCGACGCCGCCGCAACGGGCTTATCCAGGCCGTCGAACACCTCCTCCGCCGGACGACCAAGATCGTCCGATATGATCCGGCGCGCGTCGGCGGAGGGGAAGGAGGGCACGCGGTCTTGCAAGGTCTGAAGCTGCTCGATATAAGCGGGGGGCATGATATCGGGGCGGATACTCAGCGCCTGGCCTATCTTAATTGCCGTGGGGCCTAGCCGCGTGATTAACTCCATGGTCTGCTGCGCGCGCAGCTGCTCGTTCTGCTTCCCCTCCCCGCGCGCGTAGTCCAGCGCCAACCCCGCGAGTACTTCCGAGCACTGCGCCGCCACCCACACGGCGCGCGCAACCACCCGCGCGGGGCGCAGCTTGAAATACGCCGCAATTGCCTCCGGGTCGTACGTGGACGGAATCTCCTTGCCCTTTTCTCGCGCGTCGCTCACTGCCTCCACCACCGCTTTCACGAGCAGCGCCGCGAGGCCCGCCGCGATCGCCGCCGCGGTCGGCGCGACGATCGGCTTGGCGGCGAAGGAGGAGACGAGGGAGGAAGCGGAGGAGGCGAGGGAAGAGGCGAGGTAAGTTGCGAGGCGCGCCGCGGTGGTGGGGAGAAAGGCGGGATCGGCGGAGGCCTGCGCCAAGGCGGAGTCGACCGACACGCGCAACGAGGATGTGAGATGATCCGAGCTCTGCGCGGCGCGGGAAACAACGTGACGGAGAGAGAGGAGAAGAGGCGCGGATTAGGAGGTGGAGACGGATGTATTCTGAGAGGGTGACAGAGGGGGTAACCAACAGATACAAGGCATTTGCACGAAGGCTTAGAGAAAGAACATAGGGTCTTACCTGTAACAGCGCAGAGGACGCCTCGCCGAGGCGCGTTAGGCCAGGAGAGCTCGCGATAGTTGTTCCTGAAAATGCGCTCACGGCGGCACCTGCCGATGCGCCCGCCTGACCCACCCCACCCGCAGCTGCCGCTATAGCTTGCTGCACTGCCGCTGCCCCAGCCTGCCCCTGCTCCTGAATCGCACGGCCGAGATCAGCTCCCGCCTGAATCGCGCTGGCTGGACCGCTCGCAGCGGCGGATGCGGCGACGGTTGCGGCGTCGATCGGGGATTGCTCTACGATGTTTTGAACCCAGCTGGCTACCGCTGCTGCGAACGAATTTGCCTGTTCCGCAGCCGCGTTCGCAGCACCAGCAGCGTCAGGCAAGCGAATTCCCTGAAGCGCCTGAGTACTTGACGCTACGCCTGAAGTTACGCCTCCTGTTGCATCTGTGAGGAGCTTAAGTAGCGTTGGCGCTGCCTCAGCCGCTGCTGGTGCAGGATCGGCAAGGCCGGAAACTATAGCTGCTACGAGAGCAGCTGCAGCTGTAGGGGCTACAGCCGCTGGGGAAGCAGCGGCAGAGGCAGGAGAAGAGGGCAGACGTGCGGAGGGAGGTGAGGAAGCCGAAGGAGCGCGGGACGTGGGAGCATCGTCGGACCCAGGAAGCGGAGACCGTGATGCGTGAGGCTGAAATGCTTTGCTTGTAGCGCCATGTCCGGGAGTTTGGCGCGCGGAACGAGCCTTTGTGCGCGCAACGTCGCGAGCCAGCCAAGAGGAACCGGGCGCGCGCGAAATGGGAAAGCCGCCTGCACGGAGGGGTTGCGACGCGGTGCGCGTGCAGCGTCTTTGCCGCGGCCGTCCAGACTGGGCCAACGCTGGAAGTGTCAGCGCCTGATCAAGCGACAGGCCTAGAGGGGCCATAACGGCTCGAGATAAGAGAATAAAGAATTAGGCGCTTGAACGCGGTTTGAGCGGAAAATGCTCTGAGGCGGGCGCGGCGAGTGTGAGAACGAGCGGGGTCCAGACAAACTAAGTGCTCGGCCCTCGGAAGTGCAGGTACTCCTCGAAACTGCAACATGCAAATGATGAAGAACTTAGCCGCTGAGATGATGATGTTTCTCTACTGACCTGACCAGCTCTTGAATTGTCCTCGCGACTGGTGCATGAAGCTGAGGTGGATTGAAGGTATGGTGGTTCCCACTCACTCACTCTGATGTTGAAGAAACCTAGGCGGAACGAGCGGCTAGCAACACCCCACAAAGCACTGCCCGGATCAAAAAGTGAATATTTCTGGCAGCGCCTTTGGAAGATGTGCCCGCAGGAATGGGGAGGTGGCAACGCTGGTGGAAGAGACTTGGGAACACTAACTTTAAGCCTCCGAGCCTGATTGGCTGAGACCACGGCCTATGGTGTGGATGGAAGCAGAGGCCGTCAGAGGAAGCCAAGAGATGGACTTGAGAGATCGTATTTACATTGGGAGAAGCTCAGGTGTCGTTTCTACTATTTCACGATTGTGCCTGCGACGAGTGGTATCTGGGCGATGTGTTTCCAAAACCTGGCCGACGGTTAGAAAGCAATTTCCTAATCGCGTGGTTCGTGGGTAGCCCGCTACAACAGAAATTCATAACGTTCGCGCTGAGAAACCTGACACTGAGGTGCTCTAGCGTCTAATTTGTTTAGCTCTTCCTTTTCGGCCGTCACTCGTCCTTCACCTTGATAGATCGCAAGTGTCGCGAGGTCTGGGCGCACCTTTCCTGTAAAACTCGCTTGAGCGGGTCTTTAGGGATGCTGGATTCTTGGACCTGTGTAGCCTTGTTTCTGGGAATGCGATCTTGACCATGTGGGAATGGGACAGAGCAGATGGAACCACGTACTCACCTTCGATAAACCAACGGGTTTGATTTGAAGTGACACGCCGCCAAGCATCTGACGACGAGACATCCCCCGACAGATTTTCTCGTCTCCCCTGGAGGAACAACAAGGCAGGGAAGGGAGCAAATCGTGGCCTTCGTGATGACGCGTGGCGTCAGGAATTGCATACTGGTGTGTTGTGGTGTGACAGCATTCCCAGACAATGCGCCAATCTCTTGAAGCGAACAGAGTGTGGATGGTTTATGAGCTGTAGAAATAGCGCAGCCAATATATTCTATTCTTTACATTTATTTTGTGAAACCTATAATTCAAGGCATGCTGCAATATTCACAAATGCGTGTTAGTCTCGTAGTCAATATGATGCTTCACCCAGTATACACCACACTTATTAAAACATTGCCATTAACTAATTTTCTGTAATACGGTAGGCTGACTGCATAAATGTTATGAAAAGCTCTAACGACCAGCAGAGTGAGTGCTTTGAGGAAAGCTTGTCCACAGGTATATTGGTTGACTTGGTAAAGGAATACGAGAAGCCACCAAGGAGAGTCTTTTTTTGCCATGTCCAAACGACAAATTTAACTCAACCCCACCCTTTTATTGAACGAGGATTACAAGTCAATCTTGCCTATTTGCAGCTATCCTTATGCTCTGCTCACCAGCAAAACCTTCCCTTATGGTACCTCCCCTGGCCCATTCCCCCCAAAGCACATCTCTCCACTGAACCTTTGGTTGAGCTGGAAATAGCACCTGCAGCCTAGGGTCGGGAAAGGCGAGCCACGAGCAGTAGAGCACCGCAGCAGCAACGACCCCAGCAAAGGACATGAGCACAAGGGCGCCAAAATACTTGGGATCATGGAAGACTATGGCGAGGGAGAGCATCGCGAGCTCTGCTAGGCTGCTAAGGGCCATCTCCGTAGTCCCAAACAGATTGGCTGATGCTGCTGGCACAGCCTGAATGATTTGACATCCAACGATTTGGTACACCCCCTGGCCAATGCGAGAGAGCACCTGCCATACAATTCAGTGGCATAGAAAAAGAGTGTTCCTTCGCACCTAGAGCGTGCTTGGTATGGCAGAAACTAAGACTCGATACATACGAAGCATGGTGCAGCAAGAAGCATGTCTGGACGAGACTTAAAATCCGCCTTACTGGTAAGTAGCTCTTATTGGGCAGACTCACCAGAAGCACGAGGAAGAGCATGAGCAGGCCTTGGTAAAGAAAGCGAGGGCAGAGAGGGAGAGAGGAGAAGTCGAGCACGGAGAGGGCGAGCATGGTGGCCTGGAAGAGCAGCGCGATGCTGCCCGCCTGGCGTGAGTGAGTGATATGGGGGAGCAGTGAGGAGGGGATGAGAGTGAAAAAGAGGGAGGATTGAGCTGATAGAAGATGTAGGAGAAGGACAATTCTCTCCCCCGTCGCATCTCATTGCCCATGAGTAGCTAATGACCATTGAATTTCAAATTGCAGCTTTATGACTCCTCCACACCCATCGCATCCCACCAGTGGCATCCCAGCGCACCTGCAGAATCCCGAGGTGAGCCACGAGTGCAGGCGACACGAAGGATGCAGCAAAGCCCATGGCCGCACCGGCGCTGCTGAACACGCCTATCACCCCCATGCCCACACCTGCAGGCACTCACTCACACGAGGCAAGGCACAGATAAGTCGCACCCACAAGTGGGAGGTAACAGATTGCAGCATAGAAATTTGGCACTGATAAAGGGAGGAGGGGATGGAGCGATGAGCGTGGTGGGAGGGGCAGAGGAACGAACCGTGGTGGAAGAGGAAGGAGGTCATGAGTACCCCGGGTGCCAACACAGCATTGAAGCACAGCAGCACGTACGCCATGCTCGCAGGCATCACCGCCTCCTGCGTAAAGACTCTCCACCCCTTCCCCGCTGCTCTCCCCACTGCTGATATTGCTGCTCCTGCCGCTGCTCCCACTGGCAAAAATGACACTGCTACAGCGTGTGTGTATCTCCAGAGAATCCCCTCCGCTGGTGAAACACTGGGCGAGAGTGCGGCGGTTGCTGTGACACGGGCTGGACTGGCTAGTGGAATGGGTGTGATGTTGCATGCGAATTCTGCCCTCTGCATTATGGCCGGTGAGAGCTCTAGCCGTGCTGGTTCCTTGCTTGGTACTGTGCTTGCTGCAGCATCCACCACGCGAGAAGCTGCACTCATCGGTACAGGAAAGAGTGGCCCCCCTTGCACGGACTCAGCCGAGACTAGAGGTCCTTCTTCCAAGGCAGCAAGAGAAGACGAAACACCAGTAGCACCACCCGAAGTGCCAAAAGCAACAGCTGCAGAAGTCGCAGAAGCAGGCGGTACAGCCGCAACATCAGTATCCTCGTCAGGAGTAGCAGCAGTCGCTGCAGGCACCAATCTTTCTGTGGATGGAGCGACCTCAAGGGGAATACTCTGGCTGAGGGCTGCATGCGAGAGGTGGTTTGTGAGAGCAGTCAGCGCAAGCTGCACAGGTGACAAGGGTACAGGAGTTTGGGAAGGAGAATGGGAGAGAGAGAGGAAGGGAAGGGAGGGGAGTGCTTGAATGATGGGAAAACATGGAGAGGATTGTAAATAAGCAGGGCGGAGGGGGAGCGGGCGAGGGAAATGAAGGTGACAGGGGAATAAAGAAGGGAGTAAAGAGTGGATTGCAGACATGGTGAGGTGAACAACGAGAATAGGGTTTGGGGAGTAAATTGAAGGCGATTTTTGGATAAGAGGTGCAAAGGTGAACGCAGGGAAAGGGAAGGAAGAAAAGGCGAAGCGCATGGATCACATATGGAAGATAAAGTCAGAGGTACGAGTGACAGCGGAATGAAGTGCCGGCAGCAGAACATAGAATAGAGAGTGTAGCAGAGTAGGACATGCGTGGCAGAAGCAAGGAGGCATACAAGAGCCGGGAAGGAGAGGGCAGCGAGAGCAAGGCATGCTCTGACACACACTAGCGGCCCATAGGTGGCGATGAGGGCCCCAAAGATGAATGCTCCTGCCACCTGCAGAAGGGGATGGCGAGCGGTGAGTGGGGGAAACGAAAGGGACAGATGTGAGGGTGGTAAATGGCTAGTGAGAAGGGAGAGCAGAAAGGGGGATGCGCAACCTTGACAAGGATATATGAATTAGAAAAGAAGAGAGTATAGGCCATTTGACACAAGAGGCAGAAGAATCAGAAATCGAGCAAGAAGACAGCGCAACGTGCATGCATGATGTGTGCAGCAGAGGCGAGCGGGTGAGGCACATGCCATGAACAGACTGCACAGCTTTCCTTACTCACCTCGCACAAGAGCTCAACCCTCCCTAGGGTCGCCATGGCTGTCGCCATGAGCACTGGTCGATCCTTTCCCACCAGCTGAACCGTGTGCAGGGTGGAGTGGAAAGACAACAAGGGCGTTTGTGAGGCACCATGCATGCATATGCCCACGTAACAAGGTACACACGTACGCACGTACCCTTGCCCCCATGCGTGTAAGTGATGCACTACGCTATTGTCAGCGAGCGCAATACAGCTTACCTACGCCTAGCCTACTGTACGCACGCACGCAGCATCTAGTAATAGCATCACCAATGACAAGCCCTCCATGTTGTACCAGTAAATAAACTCAAAGTTATCCGGCGAGCAAATTTCAAGCGCATGACCGTTCCTATGCTAGCGAACTCCGTCACTTAGCCATGCGCTACTGGCACTCATACTCCCATGCTCCCATGCTTTCATGCTCCCATGCTCGCGTCCTAACATCCTCCCATGCTCCCATCTGCGAATGCTCACATGCTCACATGCACCCACGCAATCATGCACCCATGCTCCCGTGGTCCCACAAGGGCCCACAATAGAGAGGGCAGGGCACGCACGACAAGCACCCAGTCGATCTCCACAGCCATGCCTGTGGCTGTCCTTGGGCATGTCTGTACTCGCTCGGATCTAATACACGGACCACTTGAGAGAGGGCAGGGCACGCACCACAAGCACCCAGTCGATCTCCACAGCCACGCCTGTGGCCAGACCCATGAGTCGCTCCACCGCACCCGCCACCACCACCACCACGAACCACCCCTGCTGCAGCACCGCTGCTGCCGGCAGCGCACACAGCGCTGACGTGCCGGCTGTACCGGCAAGAGCTGCTGCTGCGGCGTTAGGGAAGGCGAGGCGCAGCGCGTGCATGGTGGCTGCTGCTCCCACCATGATGGCCGTGGACTGGACGCAGGGGAGGCAAGAGAGATGCCGCATGGGCAAGAGCGGGGAGAAGTGAGGAGGGCGTTGGGGAGACAAGAGAGTTGCCGCACACACGGGCAAGAGCGGGGAGGAGAGGTGAGAAGCACGTTAGGGAGACTGGAAGGCATGGCGACTATACGGCTGAAAACCAGGAGAGACAATGGACGGGGAAAGAGAAGGGTGCAGCGCGGTGCGGGAGGAAGGGTGTTGCTGTGGGGCCGGGCATGCGATGAGCTGACCTGAGTGACGAGGATGGTTGTGAGAGCGGGCACCCTGGAAGCCGAGTCCAATAGGTCGCCCACTAGTGGCGCCGCCACACATGCCACTAGCTGCACGTTGCAGGAGACGTGGGGGAGGGGTGAGGGAGGAGAATGGCGCTGGTGAAAACGTGTGGGAAAAGAGGTATATTTTAAGTAGCACACAGCAGGGTAGCCGAACGACCATCTAAACCTCAAATCTGGGCACTGGGTGGGGAGACATGGGCAATTGTGAGGGCTTGTCCGTCCATGCTGCGGCCTGCATATGTGTGCGCATGAAATTCGTACATGTGTAGTAGATGCATGTCAAGCATGAGTGCATGTGCTCACCTGGCTCACGAATCTCGCGACAGCCACCGGCAGTATCGAGTGGTGCAATAACGCGAGCGAAGCTGTCCCGGCAAACCGCCACGACTGCTCACTAAAGCAGTTGACGACGAATGTCAAGTACAGGGCTGCAGAGCAGGGAGGAGGCGGACGTTGGGAGGCAGGAGGAGGGGGCGGAGAAGGGAAATGGAGTCGGGAGCTGCACGGCCTCCCACACAGCGACACCTGAGGTGTCGCCCTTTCCTTCTCAGGGAGAAAGGCAAGGAGGGCATGGTGCATGCAGGACAGACTCAGTCGGATCGATCGGAGGGAGAAAAGATAGAAGGTTGAGAGTGGTGCTACAACTGTCAAAGGCTTCATTTGCATGACTACTAGTAAGACTGGTGAAAACTTGGGAGCTTGTGAACGGCGGACCCACACACGCCTGGCAGGGCAATCCACAGAACCTGCCTTGACGTTTGAAGCAGCCGGAAGGAAGGTGGTCGCGTTTTATTTGCGGGGACGGTGACATGAAAAGCTAGAAGAACATGAAGGCTCGAGGAGGAAAGGGACAAGAAACTCCGTGGTGGAGTGGACAGGCCTGTCTCTCGGGACATGGGTGTGTGAGGCCTGGCGGGGAGCGTGGGAGGGCGGAGGTAAGCGAGGAGAAAAATGGTCGCTCAACGCACCATGCAAAGCAGCGGGATGGGCAGGGCGAGCAGGTGATGCCTCTTCCTCTTCAGGAAATGATTCTCCCGCATCCTCAGGATGCTCCTTGCCCCGCTCCGCCCCGTCCTCTGCTGCCAGGCCGCCTGAATAGCCACTGTCATTACTGGTATCACGGTCACTGTCACTGCTGCTGCCGTCACAATCGATCCCAATGTCTTTGCCTGCGCTGAGGCTGCTCAAGCTGCTGACGCTGCTGCTCCTGCTGCTATGCGCCCAACGGCCCTCGCTCAACAGCTGAGAGGTGTCAGATACATCATGGGTAGTAACTACGACTTGGAACATCTCACAAGATACCGAGGTCTCCATCTCGTCAATCTTTTGCGGCTGATTAGAGAGAAATGACCTAAGAAAAGTACTCAGTCGAATCCGAGATTGAAACATCCTAGTTTACTCAGAACAGGCCGTTTTGGCCAGCATGGTGTGATTCTAGCCGCTTGGTGGAGTGAATCAACGCTCGAGTAACAAGCACGGGAACCAACTCCAAGCAAGAGGGCCATCAGATATCCCCAGGGCCGACGCTCAGCGGCAGTGCCGGGTTTACTGCACCACGGTGGCGGTCTAAGACCGACGTTGCAATGCATACAGTAGCACAGTGTCCTCGTTTCGCGTCGCGACGCAATCATCCTCCGCTGATCGACCTCTGCCATGATGGGGGCTTCTATGAGCATCTCTCACGAAATCAAGCGCTCAATTTCACACCACAGAAATAACAGGATACAGCTCTACACGCATGCTGGACACAGGTACTGTAGTGCATTCCTCATCTCAACGACGCGTGGCGTGCGGTGTGGAGAGATCCTGTCCTCAACAACCTAATCTGTGTTCTCCAGCCGTGGCCCACAACCTAGAACATTCAGAGAGCTTAGAACATAAATTGCTATAATACAAATTAAGGGTGCAATGAATCGAAGTAGCGAGAATTGCACTAAGGTGTCAAACGAGTACAAAGATGTGAGCGAAGGCATGAGCGAACATTTATACGCGAAACATGCAAACGGTAACGCGGTGCGTGCGAGCTAGCTAGTGCTATGCTGGCAGCAAGGCTCGGGCTAGTCCCGAAGCGTAGGCCGACACGACCGGGCCAGCAGTGCGAGGTTTGGCAAAACAGTGCGCGCGAAGTTGGCGAAGTCCCGTTAGCAGTAACGGGCAAACAACGGCTGTTGCTGTACGCGATGTAGTCGGGCTCCGTAAGGAATGCCGAGAAAATTCCTTACACTACCCCCCCCCCCCCCCCCCCCCCCCCCCCAGGGCCTCAGATTCGTTTTGGCCTAGGCTGAATCGTCAGCCTTGGGAGTGGGATGAAGGCTGATCAATCAGGGTAGCCTTGAAAAAAAAAACTGAAATTTCAGTGCTTAGTTTCAAATATTGGCTGATCATTCAGCCTTGCTTAAAAACAAAGGCTGAACACAACTTCAAGCTTTCCTAAAGCGCAACACGCGACGTGCTGCCAACAGTGCACACGACGTGCCTACACAGCTTCACACACGAAGATACAGTACCTTCTATCGGCAACAACATGGGCGAATCCGAGCTAATTTCCAGTGATTGGGCGAATTTCTGGAAGAAATTGTTGTGCCAGAGCGAAACTTCTTGTGATTGGGCGAAATTGTTGTCGCTTTGACGGGGCGAATCTGTTCTGTAGGGGCAAATTTGCTGTCTCGGGGCGAATCTGTAGTGACGAGTCAAGCTGATTGACTTGCATCTAGAAACCAGAAACTAGATTGCACATTCATTCCATCTGATTGGCCAGGCAGGTTTTTGATTCTCGGCACTACACGAATCTCCACTAGTGGGATTTCAGCCCACACACCCGTTGCAACGCTGATCAGTCAGTGTACACCTCTAAAAAAACTCTGAAATTTCAGACCATACAATGAAAAAAATGCTGAAAAATCAGCCGGTACAATGAAAAAAAAGCTGACAAATCAGCCCCACTTTCTTCCCAGCACTGAAATCTCAGCCTTTTTACCCCTAATCAGCCTTTTTTCGCTGACTTCTGAGGCCCTGCCCCCCCCCCCCCCCCTCAAGTGTTGGAAACAATAAGTCTTAGTGCGCTTCTGTCGTGTCGAAACCCAAGACACTAGCGAAGCAGTCCGAATCGAAGCATCGAGTCAAACCTCGGAGGTTAGGGTAACCGCCTGGAGGTTACGAGAAAGTCAAAGGTCAGCGACCTTTGACTCGACAATTACAGCGCGACAGTTAAGGACACACAACTGACTCGTTACAGAGAAGTTGCCCGAGTCGCACTGTATCGAATCGCAACAGCAATACAGTTATCTATCTATTCGTATTCCATGTACCCTTATATAAAACCTTGTATTTGCTTGTTTGATTTAATCTACTTTGCTCTCACACACTAGTGCAAGGTCGGTTCACAAGATTCATTAAACGCTTCCGCTATTACAAGTTTCCTACCCAGAGTTATCATCTGCAAAGATCCTTAAGGGCCTTCTCAGCCCAACATGGTATGAGAGCTGACAGGGGAAACTCTAAACTTTTTATATTACAAGACATGGCAACTGACAAAGTTAGAAGAAAGAAAGAGGATTGAACTAGCAGAAATGGGGATACAAATAGCAAACCCTAGAAGGGTTGTACTCGCTATAGAGCACCCCACTACAGGCTATAACATAAGATAATATTCTGACACACCCCCATAGCCAAAGTGGGGTGTAATCAGCAGAGCAGGCAAAGCAGTACAAGCTCAGGGTGGATCACAATGTCACCACACATTCTGAGCACAAGTTCAAGAAGAAATAGTTTAGAGTTCACAATTATGAGCAAAGCTAGTGGTAGTCACAACGGGCAATTGAGGAGGAGGAGAGAGAGTAAGGGGAGAGGAGATAGGAGGCGACGGCTGAAGCTGCAGACACACGGGCAACAGGAGGCAGACTGGCACAGCGGCTACCGGACTAAGCGCCCGGACTACACGAGTAACAGGCCCCGCGGCTCAAGTAGCGGCAGACGGGCAACGGACCCACGGGCGACTGGCACAGCTGGCTACGACTGGGCTACCGGACGAAGTCCCCGGACTACAGGTGCTGCTGGCGACACGACGGCAACCTCCGTGCAACTTCCCCAAACAGTCTCACCCCCCCGACACACACCCGCTGCTACACCGCTAGCTCCACTCCCACGCACCCCCCTTAAACCCTAAACCCCAGTCTCCCACACAACCACCCCCCTCAGCGATAGCTGCAGCAGTGGGAGACGAAGGAGGAGGAGCAAAGGGAGGAATGACACCGGCCACCCCCATACCCGCCACCCCACAGCAAGCGGCCCCCTCAGGTCGCCACGACAGACGACGGGAAAAGGGGGGGGGGGGGGGGGTGGGGGGGGGGGTGGAGTAAGGGGCCCACCACGGGCCTGATAGGGTCGCAGGTAGGGGCACGGGGCCGGGGCCGGGGCCGCAGGTAGGGCGACGGGCCGCAGGTAGGGCGGCGAGGCCGCGACAGTGAGGGCGGCGGGTGGGCCGCAAAGGTAGGGCGGCGGGTAGCCGCGAAGGTAGGGCGGCGGGTGGGCCGCGAAGGTTGGGCGGCGGGTGGCCGCGAAGGTGGGGCGGCGGGTGGCCGCGAAGGTAGGGCGGCGGGTGGCCGCGACGGTAGGGCGGCGGGTGGCCGCGAAGGTAGGGCGGCGGGTGGGCCGCGAAGGTAGGGCGGTGGATGGCCGCGAAGGTAGGGCGGCGGGTGGCCGCGAAGGTAGGGCAGCGGGGCCGCGACGGGTCCCCATCGCCCGTCGCGGCGCCTCCAAAAGGCGACGCGACGAGCGACGGGGCAGACGCCCGCCGCGCGCCTCGGGGCGCACAGCGGGCAGAGAACCGCCACGCGCATCGAGGCGCACGGCGGGGAGAAAACCGCCGCGCGCCTCGGGGCGCACGGCGAGCAGAAAACCGCCGCGCGCCTCGGGGCGCACGGCGAGAAGGAAAGCGTTGCAGCGGAAGCGAGGTGGTAACCCACCCACAGGATCGATCCAAAGGGATCGACCTGCTCTGATAGCATGACAAAGATAGAAGAAAGAAAGAGGATTGAAATAGCAGAAATGGGGATACAAATAGCAAACCCTAGAAGGGTTGTACTCGCTATAGAGCACCCCACTACAGGCTATAACATAAGATAATATTCTGACAGCAACAAACAAGGAAAGGAGCTCCCCTAATGGTTCCTCGGGCACTACTCCTACTCCACCACCAACCTCTGGCCTGCAGACAGAGGAAGGCACGGCAGTAAGACCAAGGGGAACGTCAACCGAGACCCCCACGAATCACCCTTCTGACTTCGACCAGAGCATGATGGAGAAATTCTTCTCCTTCATGTCCTTCTACGAGCAACACCAGCAGTCGGGACCTGCACAGACACACAACAGCAACAACGGAGCGACACCCATGAGCCTTGATGGGTCGTCATATGCGCGAGGGAATCAACAGCAGCAACCCACCTTCGCCCCGTACGAGCGCGGGTCGATCAGCTTCCTGCCTCAACCTTCACCTGCGCAAGACAAACCAATGGACGCGTTACAAGTTCAGTCGCAATTCGCGCATGTTTTGAAATTACAAACGTCAAGACCTTTCGACGGAAAGGACTTCTTCACCTGGTCCTTTGAATTCGAGCTGATGATGGTGGGCGCGCAGATACTTGGCTTCTTCGACGGATCCC